TTTTATTTTTTTTAATTTTTTATTGTTGGTTGTTCAAAACATTACAAATTTCTTGACATATCATATTCCACACTTTGATTCAAGTGGGTTATGAACTCCCACCTTCACCCCATACACAGATTGCAGAATCACATCAGTTACACATCCATTGATTTACATATTGCCATACTAGTGTATGTTGTGCTCCGCTGCCTTTCCCATCCTCCACCATCCCCCCTCCCCACCTCTCCCCTCCCCTCCCCTCCTCTCTCTCTACCCCCTCCACTGTATAACCCTGAGGGTCTCCTTCCATTTCCAAGCAATTTCCCTTCTCTCTCCCCTTCCCTCCCACCTCTCATCCCTGTTAAATGTTAATCTTCTTTTCATGCTCTTCGTCCCTACTCTGTTCTTAGTTACTCTCCTTATATCAACGAAGACATTTGGCATTTGTTTTTTAGGGATTGGCTAGCTTCACTTAGCATAATCTGCTCTAATGCCATCCATTTCCCTGCAAATTCTATGATTTTGTCATTTTTTAATGCAGAGTAATACTCCATTGTGTATAAATGCCACATTTTTTTTATCCATTCATCTATTGAAGGGCATCTAGGTTGGTTCCACAGTCTTGCTATTGTGAATTGTGCTGCTATGAACATCGATGTAGCAGTGTCCCTGTAGCATGCTCTTTTTAGGTCTTTAGGGAATAGACCAAGAAGGGGAATAGCTGGGTCAAATGGTGGCTCCATTCCCAGCTTTCCAAGAAATCTCCATACTGCTTTCCAAATTGGCTGCACCAATTTGCAGTCCCACCAGCAATGTACAAGTGTACCCTTTTCCCCACATCCTCGCCAGCACTTGTTGTTGTTTGACTTCCTAATGGCTGCCAATCTTACTGGAGTGAGATGGTATCTTAGGGTGGTTTTGATTTGCATTTCTCTGACAGCTAGAGATGTTGAGCATTTTTTCATGTACTTGTTGATTGATTCTATGTCCTCCTCTGAGAAGTGTCTGTTCAGGTCCTTGGCCCATTTGTTGATTGGGTTATTTGTTATCTTATTGTTTAATTTTTTGAGTTCTTTGTATATTCTGGATATTAGGGCTCTATCTGAAGTGTGAGGGGTAAAAATTTGTTCCCATGATGTAGGCTCCCTATTTACCTCTCTTATTGTTTCTCTTGCTGAGAAAAAACTTTTTATTTTAAGTCCCATTTGTTTATTCTTGTTATTAACTCTTGGGCCATGGGCGTCCTATTAAGGAATTTGGAGCCCGACCCCACAATATGTAGATCGGAGCCAACTTTTTCTTCTATCAGGTGCAGAGTCTCTGATTTGATATCAAGCTCTTTGATCCATTTTGAGTTAACTTTTGTGCATGGTGAGAGAAAGGGGTTCAGCTTCATTTTTTTGCATATGGATTTCCAGTTTTCCCAGCACCATTTGTTGAAGATGCTATCCTTCCTGCATTGCATGCTTTTAGCCCCTTTATCAAATATAAGAAAGTTGTAATTTTGTGGATTGGTCTCTGTGTCCTCTATTCTGTACCACTTGTCCACCTGCCTGTTTTGGTACCAGTACCATGCTGTTTTTATTACTATTGCTCTGTAGTGCAGTTTGAAATCTGGTATCGCTATACCTCCAGATTCACACTTCCTGCTTAGAACTGCTTTTGCTATTCTGGGTCTTTTGTTTTTCCATATGAATTTCATGATTGCTTTATCTATTTCTACAAGAAATGCCGTTGGAATTTTGATTGACATCGCATTAAACCTGTAGAGAACTTTGGGTAATATCACCATTTTGATGATGTTAGATCTGCCTATCCATGAACAGGGTATATTTTTCCATCTTCTAAGATCTTCTTCTATCTCTCTCTTTAGGGTTCTGTAGTTTTCATTGTATAAATCTTTCACCTCTTTTGTTAGGTTGATTCCCAAGTATTTTATTTTTTTTGAGGATATTGTGAATGGAGTGGTTTTCCTCATTTCCATTTCAGAAGTTTTGTTGCTGATATACAGGAATGCCTTTGATTTATGCGTGTTGATTTTATTTCCCACCACTTTGCTGAATTCATTTATTAGTTGTAGTAGTTTCTTTGTATACCCTTTTGGATCTTCTAGGTATAGAATCATGTCAACCGCAAATAGTGATAATTTAAGTTCTTCTTTTCCTGTTTTTATGCCTTTAATTTCTTTTGTCTGTCTAATTGCTCTGGCTAGTATTTCAAGAACTAAATTGAATAGAAGTGGTGAGAGAGGGCATCCCTGTCTTGTTCCAGATTTTAGAGGGAATGCCTTCAGTTTTTCTCCATTTAGAATGATGCTAGCCTGAGGCTTAGCATATATAGCTTTTACAATGTTGAGGTAAGTTCCTGTTATCCCTAGTTTTTCTAGTGTTTTGAACATAAAGGGATGCTGTACTTTGTCGAACGCTTTTTCTGCATCTATCGAGATGATCATATGGTTCTTATCTTTAAGTCTATTGATGTGGTGAATAACATTTATTGATTTCCGTATATTGAACCAGCCTTGCATCCCAGGGATGAATCCTACTTGATCATGGTGCACAATTTTTTTGATATGCTTTTGTATTCGATTCGCCAGGATTTTATTGAGGATTTTTGCATCTAAGTTCTTTAGAGATATTGGTCTGTAGTTTTCTTTCTTTGAAGTGTTTTTGTCTGGTTTTGGGATCAGTGTGATGTTGGCCTCACAGAATGAATTTGGAAGAGCTCCTTCTTTTTCTATTTCTTGAAATAGCTTGAAAAGTATTGGTATTATTTCTTCTTTGAAGGTTTTGTAAAACTCCGCTGTATACCCATCCGGTCCAGGGCTTTTCTTGGTTGGTAGTCTTTTGATGGCTTCTTCTATTTCTTCCTGTGTTATTGGTCTGTTTAAATTGCGTGTGTCTTCCTGACTCAATGTGGGCAGATCATATGACTTAAGAAATTTATCGATATCTTCACTATGTTCTATTTTATTGGAATATAGGGTTTCAAAATACTTTCTAATTATCTTCTGTATTTCTGTGGTGTCCATTGTGATATTGCCTTTTTCATCCCGTATGTTAGTAATTTGAATTCTCTCTCTTCTTCTCTTCGTTAGCGTGGCTAAGGGTCTGTTGATCTTATTTATTTTTTCGAAGAACCAACTTTTAGTTTTATCAATTTTTTCAATGTTTTTTATTTGTTTCAATTTCGTTGATTTACGCTCTGATTTTAATTATTTCTTGTCTTCTACTACATTTGCTGTTGTTTTGTTCTTCATTTTCTAGGGTTTTGAGATGAAGTGTGAGTTCATTTATTTGTTGGTTTATTCTTTTTTTGAGGAATGAACTCCAGGAAATGAATTTCCTTCTTAAAACTGCTTTCATTGTGTCCCATAGATTCTGGTATGTTGTGTCTGTATTGTCGTTTATCTCTAAGAATTTTTTGATTTCCTCCTTTATATCCTTTGTAACCCATTGATCATTCAGTAACATATTGTTCATTTTCCAGGTGATGCAGGATTTTTCCTTCCTTTTTTTATCATTGATTTCCAGTTTCATTCCATTATGGTCAGATAAGGTGCATGGTATTATCTCCACACCTTTATATTTACTAAGAGTTGCCCTATGGCATAATATATGGTCTATCTTTGAGTAAGATCCATATGCTGCTGAGAAGAACGTGTATGCACTTGATGATGGTTGATATGTTCTATATATGTCGGTTAAGTCTAGGTTATTGATTGTGTTATTGAGTTGTATAGTTTCTTTATTCAGCTTTTGTCTGGAGGATCTGTCTAATGGAGAGAGCGGTGTGTTGAAGTCACCCATAATTATTGTGTTGTGGTCTATTTGAGTCTTGAACTTGAGGACAGTTTGTTTTGTGTACGTTGCAGCACCATTATTTGGTGCATACATATTGATAATTGTTATGTCTTGTTGGTGGATGGTTCCTTTTAACAGTATATAGTGTCCTTATTTATCCTTTTTGATTAACTTAGGTTTGAAGTTGCTTTTATTCGATATGAGTATGGCCACTCCTGCTTGCTTCCGAGGGCCATGTGAGTGGTATGATTTTTCCCAACCTTTCACCTTCAGCCTGTGTATGTCTTTTCCTATCATATGAGTCTCCTGAAGGCAGCATATTGTTGGATCTGTTTTTTTAATCCAGGTTACTAGCCTATGTCTCTTGATTGGCGAATTTAAGCCATTAACATTTAAGGTTACTATTGAAATATGGTTTGTACTTCCAGTCATGTTTATTTATTTATTTATTTATTTTAGTTTGCCTAGTTTTTCCTCTTTGGTTATTTTTATCCCCCTTTACTGAGATACCTCCCACTGTTAGTTTTGGGTGCTATTTTTCAATTCCTCTTCTTGTAGTATTTTGCTCAAAATGTCTTGCAGTGCTGGTTTTCTGGCTGCAAATTCTTTTGACTTTTGTTTATCGTGACATATTTTAATTTCATTGTCTAATCTGAAGCTTAATTTTGCTGGATACAGTATTCTTGGTTGTAATCCATTATTTTTCAGCATTTGAAATACGTTGTTCCAGGATCTTCTCGCTTTCAACGTCTGTGATGAAAAATCAGCCGTTAACCTAATTGGTTTACCCCTGAATGTAATCTGCCTCCTTTCTCTCATAGCTTTTAATATTCTCTCCTTGTTCTGTGTGTTGGATATCTTCATAATTATGTGTCTTGGAGTTGGTCTATTATGGTTTTGAATGTTTGGGGTCCTGTAGGCTTCCATGATTTAAGCCAGGCAATTTTCAAGAATAAATTATTCTCAGGTTCTGCTGATGTATTGGCTTCACTCTGAATTGGAACTAAGAGTACCCTCATAGAATATTTCATAGTTTCGGAGCTGTAGAGGCAGAAAGAAGTAAATATGAGTATTTTTATTTTTTAAAAAACGGAGGTCATATTTTAATTATATTAATCAAGAAACACCATTTAATAAATTATACCTAAACTTTAAACAGTTTACTTTAAAAAGAAAATGACTCACCTATTTTTGTTTTACATTTTTGCTCTAAAGATCTACCAAAAAAACTCATCCAGGTGATTCCTGCTTTGCAGTGGATGAGGAGATCTATGATGCTCATATTAAGGTAAAGTGATCTTTTGTGAAATGTATGTTCTTGGTGTGAATTTTGTGTTTTAATGTATTAATGCTGGAAACTTAGATATATTTTTCTGACATTTTATATGAAAATTTGCTAAGAAGAATGTATTTTAGAGAATTATGTTGATTTAAAAAATGTTTTTGTATCAGTGTTCTCTCAAGAGTGTCTTGGGGATGGAAGAAAAGATAGGCTGGGAAATACGTTGTGACAGACAAATTAGGAAGAGCTTTCTAACTGCAGAGGAAATATGATTTTTAGTCAACGATTTTTTGGGTCAGTTTACATTATTGTGTCTTTTAAATTGTACTTACGTGACTTACAATACTTGTGCCTAAATTAATTTTTATAGAATCATAGAATTTCCCTGGTGGTTTTAGCTTGTAATATATAACATGCATGGCAAGTAGATTTTCTTTTTTGACTTGAACCCTGGATATTTTTGTACCTTAACATTTAGTGAAACCTTTTTTCCTCTATTTCTATCCTTTGCTCTGTATTTACACTAAAGTAATATTGGGAATTGTGGCAACTCAGAATTCTAGAATCTATATATATATTTTTTAAGAGAGAGAGAGAGAGAATTTTTTTTAATATTTATTTTTCAGTTTTTGGTGGACACAACATCTTTGTTTCTATGTGGTGCTGAGAATCGAACCTGGGCCGCACGCATGCCAGGCAAGTGCGCTACCGCTTGAGCCACATCCCCAGCCCTAGAATCTATATCTTAACACTTGTATTAAAAAGGGCTTCCATATCTATACTTTCTGAGTCTTTCCACTAAAGATAAAACTAATTAAAAAAAAGTATAAGTAAATAGCAGAAAGATCAGTAGACCAGAAGGAAATACTAGGGTCTGAATTAGACCAAATTATATTCTATGCTTTTATAATTATATCCTAGTATATAACTTCTACTGTGATGTATAACTGAAAAGAACCAATATAAAATAAAAATAAATAATTTAATGAACCTTTTCTAAAAATTTTCTCTTCATCTAATTAAAGAGTAGATGGTCTATGCAAAGTAATAACCAGTTCTGGAAGCAGAGACTCTCAATAATTATATGGTAATACTTGAGTTTCCCAGATTTTTTTTTCACTATAGTTTCTTAAAATATTCAAATACTTATGTCACATTCTGAAATTTCAAATTTTAGATGTTTCTATATTTATTTATTTAAATATTCATTGTAAAACTCTACAAATTTTGTGAACTATTCCAAGTTAGGAAATATATTTGCAAATATTTTGTAGCACGTAAAATAAGGTTTCAAATGTAAAATACTTCTTTTTTTTTTGAAATGACTTGAATTTTATTTCAGTCATGAAGAGCTAAATATTATGTGAGTAAGAATGGTGTAATTTTTATTTTGGGGAAAACAATGTGTAGAGCTATCATACTGTGTTCTATTTAGAATGCTATTATTCATAACTTAACCGAGCTCATTTGACCTGGAGAAATGCACCGTTTCTAAAAGCTGGTGTTATATATATTGTTGAACATGAATAAAAGTGGAGAAAATAAATTTCTACATAATTAATCATCCTATGTAATATAATGTGCATGATATAACTAGTAATTAAGTCTACTGAATTCAAAAATATATTTTAAGTTTTCATTCTCTTTTAATATATGGGATGTGAAAGTTTGAGTAAGTTATCTCAAATTGATGTCATAAAGGAGGAATAAACAAGTTAGAGTAATGTCATAAATATGAAAGTAGGAACCAGAATATCCTTCAAGCCTGGTCTTCAGATGAAAATTTGCTTGTTTCTACCTTTTAAGTATTTTATTGTTTTATATCTTATTATTTTGTTAACTTAATTATATGAAGGTACTATGATAAAAAGAGCATACATCTCTTTCTAAAACAATGACTTACTCCAATTCTTAATATTTCCTTGCAGAATACATCTCTTCAGTGTCTATTCATTGTGCCATCTCTGTCACTGTGGTTTGTTTATTGAGTTAATGTTTCTGTTTAGCAGCTCTGTGTGGTTTATATTCATTGATATCATCTCCACAAGATTGCTTTCATCATTTCTTTTTTTCTTGGAAGGATCAAAATTTGTATAATCATTTATCTTCAGCTATTTGACACATAGGAACAATGTGTCACATTTTTCCATAGGATGGACAAAACTTATACTGTTTATGAATCCAATCAATCTTATTTAATAGATAACTCTAAAAGCTCATATCTTATGAGCTTTCTCCTTAAGAGGTAATTCATGCCAATATAAGTCATAAAAACATTGAAATATCACATATAATTTCTCATATTATTAGTCTTTTTCAAAAGTACTCTAAATACAGATGACTACCATTTTTATCCTACATCATTCAGTTTAAGAAAATAGTATAATGGATTTCAGTATTTGTGTAACAATCAGTTGGATATAAGTGGAGTGACATTTTGGAGATCTCTGTGTCATGACTCATAATCTTTACCCCATGAGAATATACCCCAGCTTAGTAAGTGAGAGAATTCAGTTTGAGTATACACCAAAATGATTCAGAAACCTCTGCTCTTTCTGTTGTACCCTGCAGTCATGGAAAACATTTATTATTTTGTCAACTTTGGTTCTTATTATGCCTTAATTTTTTTTTTCTTTCTAGAACACCCCGGAAGGAGGAAAATTAACTGAAACTTCAAGGCAATCCATGAAGGATGGTAAGCTATTTGAAGACTGCCTGATTTTGTGCTGCTTTTTGACTTGAAATTACAAAATTTTTATATACTGTTTATTTTGTTTTTATTGTCAGAAGTATAATATGACACTGAGAACAAAACAGTGGAAACTAACCTGACAATGGTAACCCTGCCATTAAAAAGAATGACATAGTTGAAACCACATTTGTGCAGGCAATCAGAATAAAGAATGATTGTCTTTTCTTTACATCACCTGACTCAAAGATAATGTGTTTTTAGAAATTCTCTTTCCATTTTTTTTACATATCATCTTTTATGAAGACAAACATCCTAGAAAGAAATATAAGGCTACAAGGTTATAATAGAAAACAAGCAACAGGTGAGGTATATGTATAGAATTAACACTGATAGAATGTGGTGGGAATAAACAATTTTTTGGTGTGTCCGTATGGAAGGAAATAAATAGAAAATAAGCCAAAATCACAGCTTTAGGAATATGAAGCTGAGAAAAGGGGATGCATACAAAGAATTTATTTATGAAGGGAAAGATAAGTATCCAGATTGGATGATTGTCAATATGGCTGATATTTAAAATAAGAAATATTGAAATTAATAAGAGCAGCAATTGAATATTAGGCCAAACATAGGAATGTTCAGAGGAAGTACATGCTGGATATATAGAACAATGTGTCACATCTGTCTATCATTTACTCTTGACATCCTTCAATGAATAGAAGGCAGGGTGTGTGATTACCATCACAATCATTTTGGTATTATAATGAATACAAAAATAAGAAAATAAATGTGGCATATTTTAGATACTTAAGAAATCAATATTTTCTTCTGTTTTTATTAAAGCTTCAAGTAATTTATATTTAGCACCAATCAGTATAGGCTTAAAACTGTTGGTGGTCAGTGCTTGTTGAATTATACCAAAATAGATTCTACTGTCACATATAACTAAAAAGAAAACAACAACAACAAAAATAAACATAAAAAATGTATATAAATAGGTACTGGTATTCAAAGAAAAATATAAATCCAAACAGAAAAAGTAACAATAGTAATGAACATGATAAATTAAAAAAAATAAATGGACTTCTAAAAATTAAAAAAGGTCAATTTTTAAAAATTAATGCACAGTTTTCACTGTGGCATATTTGTACATACATGTAGATCAATTGTACTTACCCAATCCTGTCTTCAACATTCCTTCCTCCGTACCTCCGATTTTATCTATGTTAATGGACAAAATTTATTATCCATCCATCTATTTTCATGTTGATTATTTCCACCTCTAGTTTTCTATATGAGAGAAATATATGATACTTTTTTTCTAAGTATGGCTTATATTGCTTAACATGATGCATTCCAGTTTCCTTTATTTTCTTAAAATTGATGTTTATTGTTCTCTATGCGTAGAAATCTTCCTTGTGTATATATGGCACATTTTCTTTATTCATTCTCCTGTTTACAAGCATCTAGCCTGATTCTATAACTTGATTCCTATGAATACGGTCATGATAAAGATGGGCATGTGTGTATCTCTAAAGTTCGCTGACTTTAATATTTTCCAATAAATACTGAAGAGTAGTATAGTTGAATCATAAAGTAGTTCTATGTTCAGTTTCTTGAGTAGCCTTCATACTGATTTCCATAGGAGTATAGTAATTTGTGTTCCTACCAATAGCATATAAGAGTTTCTGTCTCTTCAATTCTTCCCAGTATCATTTGCTTTCTTCAGGATTGCTTTTTCTGGATGGTGGAAAATGGGAGCTTGGTGTTGCTTTAATTTGCATTTCTCTGATTGCTGGAGATATTATGCATTTTTCCACCTAAGTGTTGGCCATTTGTACCTCTTATTTTGAGAACTAACTGTTCATTTGCTCATTTATTAAATAGGTTTTTGTGTTTCTGGTGTTAAGATGTTTGAGTTAATGTTTTCAGGATATTGACCTTCTGTCAGAAAAGTAGCTGGCACAGATTTTCTCCCATTCTGGAGGCTACCTCTTCTTACTGTTGCGTGTTTCACTTACTATGCAGAAAGGTTTCAATTTGATGAACTCTCTGTTATCCATTCTTACTATTTTTCCTGAGCTGTAGGAAGCTCTATTCAGGAAGTAATTGCCTACATACTGAAGTGTTTTCCATATTTTTTTCTAGCAGTATTAAAGCTTCTAGCTGGTACATAAGTCTTTAATCGTTTTTGAATAAACTCTTGTACAGTGTTAAAAAATAGGCATCTAGTTTTCTTCATCTACGTATGGATGTCTAGTTTTTCCTACACTATTTCTAAAATATCTTTTGTCTTTTCTCCAACATATGTTTTGGCATCTTTGCCTAGAATCACATGACTGTACCTGTGTGGATTTGGCTCTCTGACTTCTCTTCTATCCATTGGTCTATGGGTCTTTCTTTACACTAGTACCATGTTTTTTTTATTACTATGGCTCTGTTTTATATTTTGAAATTGGGCATTGTGTTATATCTATTGTTGCTCTTATGATCAGCACCACTTTGTCTAAGTTTATTTTTTCTTTCATACAAATTTAAAAGTAGTTTTTTTTCCCCATTTCTGTGAAGAATATCGTTATAATTTGAATGGGAATACATGGTATCTATAATTCACTTATGGTACTATAGCCATTTTCACAATATTAATTCTGCCTTTCCATGAACATAGGAGATCTTTCTACTTTCTATTGTCTTTAACTTCCTTTTTTATCAATCTGTTATTTTCCTTGAAGATGCCATTCACTTACTTGGTTAAGCTTATTTTTAGCTATTTTAAAAGCTATTTGAATGAGTTATTACCCTTTCTTCTTTCTCACCAGATGTGCTATTGATATATAGACAGTTTATTCTTATATGTTTATTTTGTATCATGTTACTCTGATGAATTTATTCATCAGAAGTAGAATTCTCATGATGTAACATTTATGGTTTTCTAAGAATAGGACTATATCATTTGCATATAGAAGTAATTTAACATTGTTACTTTTCTATTTGAATCCATTGTATTTTTTTCTCATCTCTAAAATTTTAAGTATTGTGATTAGTGAGATTGGTGACAATGAACATCATTGCCTTTTTCTGATTTTAGGGAAAATTTTCCAGTTTATTACACTATTGGCTTTGAGTTTAATATACTTGTTCTTTATTATCTTATTATAAGCTTCTCCTATTTCTAATTCCTCCTGGCTTTGTCATGAAGGGCCCTTAAATTTTCTCAAAGGCTTTTTTCTGTTGATGTTGAAATGATCATGTAGTTTTGCCCTTGATTCTGTATGTGGTGTATCAATTTTATTGATTTGCATGTATTGAATTATGCTGGAGCAAAATCAGCTTGATCATCATATACGGTTTTTCTGTGTGACACTAGAGACTCAAGCCAGCAGCACTATACCACTGATCCACATCCTCAGCCCCCTTTATTATTCACTTTGAAACATGTCTCACTAAATTGCCCAGGCTGGCATTCAAATTATAGTGTGCCTGAAACAACCTTCTTCATTTCTTAGAATATAGACATACCACAATGCCTGACACTGCATGTTCTTTTTTAATGTGTTGTTGAATGTGGTTTGCAAAGATTTTGTGAGAATTTTTATACTATATTCCTCAAGGATGTTGGTCTCTAGTTTTTTCCTTGTTGGGTCCATATTCACTTTTCCAATCAGGGAAATACTTTGCAGATTTGCTTAGGAAGCATCTTTCCTTTGCTCTTACCTGTAATGGGAAGATTAATATTAGTTCTTCTTTAAATATCTGATAAAATTCAGTCATGCTTTCACCTATGGTCCTGGAGGCTTGTTGTTATTGCTTAAATCTAATTGCTTGTTATTGAGCTATTTGTTTATCTCTATCCCTTTGATTCAAAATTTTTAGGTCATATTTCATCAATGTCTTCTAGATTTTTTTTTCATGTGTTGCAATTTAAGTCTTTAAAATAGTCTAGATTTTCTCATTTATTAAAATATAAGTTTTTCAAATAGTCTCTAGATATCCTCTAGATTTCAGTGGTATCTGTTGTTATATTTCTGTTTTTGTTTCTAGCTTTATTCATTTATAATGTATCTTCTTTCTCTTTTTTTATTTTTTACTTACCTTGGCTAAGAGTTTATCAATCTTATTTACCTTTTCAACAACCAACTATTTGTTTCATTATTACTATGTTAGGTTTTTTGTTGTTGTTGTTTTGATTTTCTACTTTATAATTTTGGCTCTGTCATTTATTAATTCTTTTTTAGTATTGGTTTTAGAATTGATTTACTGATGTTTTTCTTAAAACTTGGGATGCATCTTGAGGTTTTTTAATTTGAAATATCTCACATTTTTAAAAGGAGATAGTCATTGCTATGAACTGCCTACATACAACCACTTTTGGTGGATCAGAGGAGGGACATGGGAAAGGAAAAGAAAGGTACTGGGTAGAAATATTGGTCAAAATATGTTATATGCATTTCTGTATGGTATAGTGAATCACACTATTATGTATACATACAATGTCTTGATAAAAGAAAAGAATAAAAAGGAAAAAAAAAGAATGGCTTTTACTGTATTCCATACATGTGTGGATGCTGTGTTTTGATTCGCATGTGGTTCTGAGGTATTTTTTGAAATTTCCCCCTGATTTCATCAGTGACCCTTTGATTATGCAACTGTATTTTTTATTCCTTACATGTTCATGCAGTTTCTGTAGTTTTACTCACTGTTTACTTCTTTTTCTTAATTAGATCATTATTTCCTACATAATATTGGGGTTCATTTTTAAATAATCATACAAGTATATTTATTTATTTATTTATTTTTAGTTTGGTTCTCAGTACTCTCCCTTTTTCTTTCTCTGTTGCCTTTCTTCTATTCCACTGATCTTTCTTGTATTTATTTGTAGTTGTTTTAATTAGTGAATCATTGATATATATATAAAGGTCAGATTCAGTGTGATATATTCATAAGTGCACATAGGAAAATTTGTTCAGATTCATTCCACCACACTTCCTTTGGCAGTCCCTCCATCC